GTATCCTATTTTACCATATCTGTCTGATGAAGAAGCTTGTGAAGCTTCAAAAACTAGCAGGATATAATTTATGCCTTTTGCTTGGCCCAGTAAATATATTAGTCTGGATTTTGGAAGTTGGTTTTTGTTTTGTTTGTTTGTTTGTTTGTTTGTTTTGCCTATATAGTTGTCCTTGCAACATTACTTGAAACAATGAAAACCTGGAAGAGGAGTCCTTTTATCTGATGGTGGTTATAGCTTTTGCATCCATATTATATTTTACTATGCTGTTTTTATGTTGCTTTGTGCTGTCCTATTATTGCTAACAACAACACAAAGATTATGCTAATATGTTGATGTTGTTATGATGATGAGGACGTTTTAATTGAACTATATGCTGCCTGTGTTATGGCATGTTTAACATGAATAAATGAATACATAAATACTCTGTTTATTCCTGTAGGAAACCATGAGGATGGTATTTGGAACAAGATGGTATATGATGGATAGACTTAAAATGAGATGTGACTTATGTTGAAGAAAGTCTAGATATTATTATGTCTGTAGGTTTGGGAGGAAAGATAAGATTTACCAAAGAGAGTTACTGTTTGGAAACTCTCTGACTTGGGCATAGTGACAAAGAAAGTATAAAAGTCAAGAAGAATATTACTGCCTGGGAAAAAGTGTGTTTGCATCCATTTCCAAGCAGATACACCCTTATTTCATCCACACACCTTTTTAACCTAGAGCATTTAAACTAGTGTTGCAAGGGACCATGCTTCTCATTGTAGACAGAACATTGAGGTTTATGGTGTTTGTACAGAGTACAAAACTCAAGAGAAGGCAGCATTCTATAGGAATATTTCTTGTCAGTTCAGTACCAACCCAATTTCTTGTTTGACCAGACTTAGGATAAAGCACTTCTGCAGAATTCAGAGAAGGGCAAGAAGATGGCAGGAAGTTCTGGTCAGATGACTGCAGAAGGATTTCTTCATACAACTACTAACCAGACCAGACCCTTTATAACTTGTGTGATCACACATGTGCAGGGTGGTATGGTCACAGTGTGGCTGATGATTTTCTCCATCTCTTCTTCTTCTTCTTGATTATATTGATTTGGGTTTTTTCGTTTGATATAAATCTTTTATTTTTTAAGTAGAAGGACTGAAGTACAAGGAAACAAAATAGTTTCCCATATGTTCTTCACATATCTTCATGCCTCACTAGATTCTACATATGGATAGTTAATTGCTGTTCATAGAGGCCATAGTCCACTACTTTGGGATCCTGTGGCTTCTGCCTTGACAAATTCTCTTCTCCTCTCTCCCACAGTCCTCTGGTGCACACTAAAACTTGGTCTAGAGGGCTGGGAAACCTTCTGGAAGAGCTATTGGGTGTCATGAAGGACTGCAGTTGGAGGGGGCAGGGAAAAAAATCCTGATTCCCCTACTGTTGGTTTTATGAATGCACCACTGGATAGAGAAATACACTACTGAATCTCAGCCTTGATTATCTAAAAAACCTGAGGAGACCTGCATTTCTTTAACAAAGTGTTTTATGAACATTTGCTGTTGTTGTTGTGTGGCTTCAAGTCATTTCCAGCCTATGACAGCTCTAAGATGAACCTATCATGGGGTTTTCTTGGCACAATTTGTTCAGAGGAGCTTTGTCATTGTCTTCTCCTGAAGCTAAGAGCATCTGACTTGCCCAAGGTCACTCAATGGGTTTCATGGTAAAACTGGGAAATGAACCCTGGTCTCTAGAATCATAGTCCAATACTCAAACCACTATGCCATGCTGGTTCCTTTTATGAACATTCCAGATGGGAAAAGTGTCATTCATCGAATACTATAATGATCTGTAGTACATAAACAAGGTGTGTTAATTCAATTAACTGAGCTGAAATGATCAGTCCCCACTTGTAGAAAGGTGAACCAGAATACAAGTATTGTGTCGATCACCTGCAATCTTTCAAGCCACTTACAGCCCTGGCCTAACCAAAGTGAGGCAACAGTCTCAGGTAGCAAATACTAAAGACAACAGCAGCAACTAAGCCACCACTCCTCCTGAGCTGCTGGAGCATTTCTCTCTTTTGGAGGACATAGGTGTGTCCTGCAGTCCACAAACCTGTCTGCTACCCTTGCTTATAGTGGAAGAGGATGCTCTGATCCTGCTGATGATGAAGTAAGATTCAACAGTGAAGAGTGTAGTGCTGAAATTCTACTGAGGGAATGGCAAGAGTTGAGTAGGAATGGGAAGATTTACTCCCTCTTCTTCACTGCCATCCCCAAAACAGGCTCTGAAAAGCAGAGAAACTCTGGAAGCTGGCTTTCCAGTGGTGCAGAGGGGACAGAATTTGGAGGAATTGAGTGCCAGTCACATGTTGGATTTAGGCCCATGATTGATGTTGACTTCTGAAAATGAATGCACCAAAATGTCTTGGGTTGACCCTAGTAACTAGTGAATATTCAGGATGCACACCTAAATTTGACTAATATGAAGTTCATGGACTGAATGGATTTAAACCAGGGGTAGGCAACCTTTCCCCTTTAAGGGCCGAGGGACTTCAGCTCCCAGAATCCCAGGAGCTATTGGCCAACATGGGACTATTGGCCAACATGGCTGAGGCTTCTGGGAGCTGAAGTCCCTCGGCCCTTAAGGGGAAAAGGTTGCCTACCCCTGATTTAAACCATTAAAAGAACTAAGGCACACATTGTTAACTGCCCTCAGGTTGATCTTGACTCATGGTGGCCCTATGAATGAGACATCTCCAAGACCTTCTGTCCTCCTCTGCTCTACTTCCTGCAGCCCCTTAATACCTGTGACCTCCTTAGCACCCGAGTCCACCTTCCCCAGCACTAGTGTTTTTCCCCCAAAGATTCCACTTTTCTCATGATGTGTCCGAAGTATGACAGTCTCAGTTTGGTCATCTTGGCTTCCAGGGAGGTTTCCAGTTTGATCTGCTCTAGGACCCACTTGTTTGTCCTTTTGGCTGCCAATGGGATCCTCAACACTCTTCTCCAGCACCACATTATCTCAAATGAACTGATTTTCTTCCTATCATCTTTCTTAACTGTCCAGCTCTCACATGCATACATGGTAATAGGGAATAAGATAGCTTGTATGTTTCTAACTTTTGTGCTGAGTTGTATATCTTTGCATTTTAGAATCTTTTATACTTCTTTCATAGCCACCCTCCCCATTCTTAGTCTTCTGATTTCCTGACTACAGCCCCCATTTCCATCAGTGTTTGATCCCAGGTATGGGAATTCTTTTACTATTTCTTCATTGTCTAGGTTGAACTTGTGAAGATCCTTGGTGGTCATTATTTTTATTTTCTTCAGGTTCAACATTAAGCCTGCCTTTGCACTTTCTTCTTTGAACATTCCTTAGTAGGTGTTTCAGGTCTGTGAAGTTTTCTGCTAGTACGGTGGTGTCATCTGCATATCTTAGATTGTTGATATTCCTTCCTCCTCCTTCTGTGTACAAGCCTGCTATTCTTATAATATGTTCTGCTTACACATTGAACAAATAGGGTGAGAGGATGCAGCCTTGTCTGACTCTTTTGCCAATTGGGAAACATTCTGTTTCTCCATGTTCTGTTCTGACAGTAGCCTCTTGTCCTGAATACAGATTCCTCATTCCTATCAGATGTGTTGGCACTCCCATGTCTTTAAGGGCATTCCATAGCCTTTCATAATCTATGCAGTCAAAGGCTTTGTAATAGTCTATAAAGTGCATGCTGATTTTCTTTTGGAATTCCCTGGTATGCTCGATTAGCCATCATATGTTTGCAGTGTGGTCCCTAGGGTCTTTTCCTTTTCTGAATCCCATTTGGACATCTGGGATTTCTCTCTCCATGTATGGTTCAAGTCTATGTTGCAGAATTTTGAGCATGATTTTGCTTGCGTGGGAGATCAGTGCTATGGTTCTATAGTTGCTGCAGTCTCTTGTGTCTCCCTTTTTGTGAATGGGGATGTATATTGATCACTTCCAATCTGTTGGCCATTGTTTTGTTTTCCATATCTATTGACACACATACCTTTGGTTAATTTTGAAAAAGAGTGAGATGTATAACTTCATGCCAATAATAATTGCTATTGTTATATAGTGGCTGCACCCCTACATACTTTTATGTGGGATTAAGCCCACCTAAAAGCATTGGTAAATGCCAGTCTGTTTGGGGACACAATTCAAAGTGTGAGTCTGATACAGTCCTATGTGGCTTAGGCCCAGGATGCTTGAAGGACCCTATATTCACATATTGGCCTCTTTGAGTTGTCCTTCATGAGCTCAGTTGATGGGAATATAGGAGAAGGCCTTTTCTGTGTCTGCTCTCACACTTTGGCACTCACTCCCTGTGAAAGGATTGGTCAGTCTTTTTTTTTTTTTTGGTGGTAGGTTAAGACCTTTCTTTTCCAGCAAGTCTTTGGAAACTGATATTAAAAAGAAAGAAAGGGTTTTTAATGGTTTGTTGTTGTTGTTGTGTGCCTTCAAGTTGTTCCTGACTTAGGGCGACCATAAGGCAAACCTAGCATAGAGTTTTCTTGATCAGTTTCTTCAGAAAGGGCTTGCCACTGCCATCCTCTGAAGCTGACAGTGTGTGACTTGCCCAAAGTTATTCAGTGAATTTCTGTGACTGAGCTGGGATTCGAACCCTGGTTTCAGTGTCCTAGTCCGACACTCAAACCTGTCTGCTATACTGGTCCCCTACATCTTTATGGTGCAGTACTATTTTTAATCTTTGTTTTAAAGTAAGATTTTAAATGGTTTGAATTCTGTTGTTGCTTTATACTGTAAAAAAATCTTAATTTTGTGTGTTTTTAACTACATGTATTTCTATTGTCATTGTCTCCCTTTTTGTAAGCTGCTTTGAGTTCTAATGAGAGAGAAAGGTATGCTATAAATATAAAGGGGTGGATGGATAGTAAATGAGTGGACACATGTTGAGTTGTATTGTAAAGACACATTGCAGCAAATGCTGTTAAAATACAATGTTGTGTTTTGTTTTTGCTATTTTAGTTTGGTATATATCTAAGAAAAGGGCTTTAAACCTTTCTGAGATATTTTGCTGCTTCTTCTGAGAGCTCTGTGTCCTTCACCCTACTAGTGAAAACTGAAATTGTCATCCTACATGAGAGTGATATTCAAGCTTCATGAATAAATAAATGCTATATGTCTTTGCAATTGCAATGATGTATGCCAGAAAATAGCCCACATTATAAATCACTGTCTTTTACTGGACAAACCTGTTGGCCAGAAAGAAACCTTGGGCAGAGAAAAACACTGAATGGGTGCTTCAGGGTTAGATCAGAGACTTAAACCAGAGAGTAAAAGAGGCCAGCACTGGTTTTCCTGAAAATCAGTCTGAATCAGTATCCCATCTTGTTGGTGCAAAAGTATCCCCGAATGCCAAATCTTTGCAGCTTTTAAAATTTTTAAGAAATGACCCACAATCAGGAAGGCTTACATATTTTTGCATGTATTTCCATAAGTTACTAGATCTCATGACAGAGAATATTTTTAGTCATAGAGCCCACATTATAAATCACTCTCTTACTGGACATCTAATTTCTTCTTTACATTTCCTTTTGCTACATTTTTCATAATAATACCAATACTGCCATGCTAAATAATTTATTTCCAATATTTTTCACTAGCCAAATATTTCTAGTCTCTTGTCATAATGCTCCTCATTTGTTTCTTAGGCAAGGTATGTATATTTATTCAAGCAGTTTGTTTTCTTTCCCAAATATTCACCTATCATTCTTGCCAAGCCTGTTTGTTGACTGATCCATTTGTCAGCCCTGCAAAGTTGCCTCCTTCTTGCCTTCTGTGAACTCCCTTGTTGCTTTTCAATAGGACTTCTCCTTAGGCATGAATGCAAGGTTTCATAAAACCAAATACAAAAAGGCATCTGTAAGAAATAGCATATAAGCATAAACAGTAGAGTTTGGTAACTTCAGTTATTGTTGTGTGCCTTCAAGTCATTTCTGATTTATGGCAACCCTAAGGATTCTTAGGGGGGGGTTCTTGGAAGAATTTGTTCATAGCAGGTTTACCCTTGCCTTTCTTTGAGGCTGAGAGAGAATGGCTTGGCCAAGGCCATCCAATGGGTTTCCTTGACCAAGTAGGGCAAGTCAAACCCCAATCTCCCAATGTCTTTGTCCAGCATTCAAACCACTATACTATGTTTGTTCATTAACTGCTGTACAGTTTCTTAAAATAATCCCTTGTAAATAAATTATAATAATCATAAAGCTTTCTCCCATGCATGTATGTACACATGCATACACACACACTCACTTTCTTTTTTCCCCCAGGAGTTGATTTTCTTTGACTTTTTGAGTTTGGAAAGTGTTCTTTGATCTATCTTAATTTCCCCCAAATTATATTTTATTATGTTTTCAGTAATTTGTATAAAAGCAGCAATCAAATTACATCTAAATTTCACACTTCCTGAAAAAAAAATGTTGTGTGGCATCTGTTCAAATGGAAAGGAATGACAGTATTGATGGATGTGCTATTCTTTGTAATTGTGCTTCCAGACAGATGGCTTCTAGCACAAAGAAACCATTGCTTTCTTCTACAAGCCACTCATTGCCACCTTCACAGAAAGTCAGCATGGTGTAGTAGTGATTCTAATATTGGACTATGACTTGAGACCAGGGTTTGAATTCCCACTCAGCCATGGAAACCCACTATGTGATCTTGGGCAAGTCAATGGACGTTTTCACACGGGGCAAAAGGAGGACGCTAGCCGGCCTCCCGCCGGCCTCACTCCGGCTCCATTTTCCGTGTG